CCGTTTGCAGTTCTGCTGAAACAATAAAACAACAAAAGCTGAGCTACTAATTTCCGGCCCTGTCTTTGGAACTTTTCGTCATAAGGGCAACTTCTGTTTTGCTTACTCAACCCTTTCTCACTCTGCGCTGGATCGGGTCATAATTCTCTTGTATTCGAAGGCGGTGCAAAATTAGCCGACAGTCCGGCGCCATCAATCTCCATCAGCCGAGAGATCAATCCGAGCGATAGGGCGCGGGTGTTTAGCCAAAGCAAAGGTTTCTCCTGCCGGTGAGACTCAATTTGGACCAGGACCTAAGGGTGTTGTTTGCTAAACTGCTAAGTAAACCAAGTGGAGCCGCCCGATTTTTCCGAAGCCCGCAAGCCAACTTTTGCGCCAATTCCACCCGACCGCCTCCAAGAAAGAGAACAGCAGAGAGAAAAAGGAAAAGTTTCAAAAAAATAAAGCGGTGAATTTATGTGCATCACGTGATTTATCGTGTTTGGTTATTATGTTTTGGCGAAAAGTTTTGACGCCATCTGCTCGCGCACCGCAAAATGAAAAATTAAATTATGGCTGTTAAAGTAAAAAGTTGAAAAAAGTATGTGTATTGGATATCAAGCTGTTGCCTCTCAGCAGACTGGCCAAGGCGTGCAAAAGAAAATTGGTCCTCTGAGTATTTACAAACAAAATAAAGTCATATTTAAAGGGATTTTCAGTAACTTTTGCTCCACGGACAAAGATGAGGTTGTTGCATGCAGTATTTTTTTAAATACTTAGAAATTCATTGAAGGAATTTGCAAGAGGTAAAAAATATACTGAATAGATATTTTTTGAAGTATTTTGTATACTTTTATGTGTAAGAGAGATATTATGATTTTATTATCCTTTCAATTGAAATGTATATGAAATAAATTTTTGAGATTTAGCCTCTTCGTTTTTTAAATTAGTTTTCGGAATTTGAAGTCAATAATAAAATTAGATAAAAATATATTACACAAAAATCCATCGAATTGAAAATGCGAAATGAAAATAAACGATATTTTGGTAAATTGTCAATTATTTTTGATAATTTTGAAGCACTTTGTAACTCCACTTACTAATGTATAAATGAGTCTTTTGGCTGTAGGGCAATATGGCGTCGTGATTGCCCTCGTGTGGGGCAATAACGTTTAATTTGCGCTGGTTGACAAAAGTGCACGGCGCGTTTACGTCAAGTCCCGTCGCTACCGCACAGCACCGCTTTTCCGCATTTTCGCCTCGATCCCCAAACGCGCGTAGAGCAGCAATAGAGCGCGCGAAAATGAGAAATTATTCGCGGCCGTATATCTCTCAATTACAGGGCAACAAAGTGACATTCGCAGCGGGTTGGGCTGGAAATTTATCGCCACAGCCGGGCCGGAAAATATTTCATATTCATTGCGAGCGATGAATTTTTTATTTCCATCCCAGCCGAGAATAAAACCAGGCAGGGCAGATGGATTAAATTTGCAGCGAAAATCTCTGGCGATTGTGCTTTTCTTCCAATTGTGATTCGTTCCGAGCCTGTGCTTTTTCACACGCCGGGTATATATTATTAGGTGAAAACGGGCTTGTACTATTTTCGCACAGCGCTTATGGCACCAATTTGTCACGGATCGTGTTCCCGAATTCAGTCGGCGCTGCTGCGTGATGTGTTGGCGAATCGCTCTTTCGCACACCGGCTACCAAATTGCACTGCGCTTGCTGCCGATATGTGCCAAAAGCGCGTGTGATGCGAAAAATGGGTGATGTGAGGGGATCAGGGAGGAATTTTTTAAACCATTGATCTGACATCATCAATAAAAATAATTCAGCGTTGTGAGCAATTGTTTTATTAAAAAACAAATACTTTGCAAAAAAATTTGTTTTTATATCTGTTTCAATGAACAATAAATTAATGAAACTAATTAATTAACAAAATGTTTTTAATTAATTTATATTAGTAAATATTTATAACTTTTTTTGGGCCTTTTTTCACAGTTAATAATTTTTAGGTTTTAAATTTTTATCGCACTAAACTTAATTTTTTTATAAAAAAAAAATTAAAACTTTGATTTGATAAGATTCTAAATTTGTTTGCCAGTTGAACTAATGTACAAAATTTATCAAGCAATTATTTAAATGAAGGAAGCAGCTACTACACTTAAAAATTATTTTGCAATTCACTTCTTATGAGAATTTGAAAACTAAACAAAAAATCAGATTGCCTGGGGGTGGGAATGTTTGTGAACGAATTTGGTTCCACCAAGGAGCAAAAATTTACCTCAAGATAACATTACGATAAAATCAAAATATTTTTACTTTTCAACAAATTTATAGTTTTGTGTAAATTATATTAAGGCGAATTCAATAAAAATATATCTGGATTACTATTGAAATTTGGATAGTTTTGATGAAAAACACTTATTTCTACATGGGTTCTTGAAGTTGTTGTTGTGGAACCTTTTGGAACCTTATTATTATTTTTTATTTAGCTTTTAAAATACTTTTCTGTTGTCTTGTGTTAAATATTATGCTTCTCCCCGTTTTTAGATATGTCATTGGTGTTTCCTTTACAACTACTCTTGATGCAGCAACAACAAAATCCAGCATATTAAATTTTTCGTCTGTTTTGCTGACTTTTAAAAGATTTGCACTGTGTTGACTTTCATCACGACTAATTAATCTCATTTGTGTTGCTGTGTACACCATGACATTCCGCACACAAAAGAAAGCAGCGTCAAAAAGGTCGCAGATGAGCCGGCGGGTTGACAGGTAAATTAGCGGAGAGATCTTTTAATAAAGGGGGTGCACGTAAAAAATGGAACCACCTGTGGCCGTGCAATGCAAGTCACAAAAAGCAACCGCGACGGCCTCTTTTGTTTATTATTTCCAACTCTCATGCTCTTCGTCGAGTCAATGTTTGCTTTGTGTGTGCGCTGCATGAGGGAAAAGTGTCATGAGCAGCAGGACACACCACATTCACTCAACAACCCTTTCTTTCCCGGCTCGCTTTTTCCCAACCACCACCTCCACCGCCGGCCACAGATGATAAGCGTTTTTTCCTTCATTTGAATATCAAAGCGCACACTTCATTTGGTCAAAGTACAGTCCTTCGCGCTCCTTTAGAGTTTAGAGTAGTAATATTTTTTTTCGTCTTTTGTTGATGGGAAATTTTTTGCGAGGAAAATTAAAATTATTAAATTTATGTGATCTAATTTTTGTCAACATAATTTCACAGCTCATGAATAATAGCTGCAGCCCACAATCGAAACATGTAGAGCAGGATATTATTTTTTCTTAAAAAACAAAAATCACAAATTAACTCATTGAGGAAAAGCGAAATTTAAATTTAAATCACCATTATTTAATTATTATAATCATACAGTACAAAAGTAATTTTTTAGCCTCTGCATAAATATTATACTTGCTTTTTAAAATTTTCTAAGAATAAAAATAAAATTTCAGTTCAATTTCCTCCATTAATTGAAACTCGCAATGTTCCGTGTATTGCAAAAGTTTAAAATAAAATAAACGTTTCCCTTTGTATATGTACATTTTTTGTTATATACATAGTCCGCAATTGCAGCGAGGCATTAAACATCAGCGCTTGGCTTTAAAAAGCAAACGCACAACACATGTGTTTGAAACGCTGAATACAATAAACGGCCTCATCAGTCTTTATTTATGTTTGTGCCGCGACTGCTGGAAAATGCATGGGAAATATGAAATCGCTTAGCAAATATTTATCTGCCTACGCTGCTGCAGCGAAATAAATAAAAGGCTCCTCTCTCGACTCGCGCGCGCGCTCCGCAGCATTTATTCTCCCTTTTCGTACGAGTATTCAAATTTATATTTGCACAAAATCCTGGACGCGTACAAAATACTCCATAAACTATAAACACTACGTGCAAATAATGTGTATTTCACTTGTGCGACGTCACGTGTGCCGTTTCCAATGCAGATATACGCACTACATATTTTCTCAGTGTGTAATAATTTTGCTGCAATACTGTGAATCAAAATAAAAATTTAAGCAAAAAGTGTTTTTTATTAATTGATACAATTTAATTTAATACCAAACAAATTAATCCTAATCATTTACTACGTTCTACATGCATCTAAAAGACTGGATTGTTAAAAAATTAATCAATTATAACAGTTTTTGGTTGTTGCTTTAAAAGCTTTAAAATAATTTTTGCGCTTTTTCTAAAGAGAATATATATTTTTCTAAGAACTATTCTGTGTGTCATAAAATTTCTTTTAAGATCAAATTGAACTGCATTCCTAGCATTTTTTTTATAATAATAAGCAAAAGTAAATAATTTTATTTGATTTTCAGTAATTCTACTAATTCTTTTGACTATGTTTTTATTTATTATTATTATTATTTTTTTTGTAGCATTTATCTTATCAGTGCTGTTCTCTATCATCATAAGACTTTTCTCCCAATGTATTCCCAGTTAAATAATTTTCCATAATATAGGCGTGATGTCGCTTGAAAAATAGAATAAATTGAATTAATAAAAATATATACATAATGATAAAAGAAGTTTATTTCAATTGAGCTTCTGATTAATTTTTGAAATATAAATTCTTCTTTGATTATTTTTCCAAATTTTTTAGAAAATTCAAAAATAATTGTTATGAGAAGGAAAATTTCAATTGTTGATCAAAAAGGCAATAAATTATTACTTAATTATTATTTAATACTTAAACTTTTAGAGCTTATTGAATGAGAACTTTTAGAAGAAAACAATAATACTTTTCAATTTTTATATTCTCGTGATTTAAAAGAATTGAAATTTAAAAGGCAGAGAACAATTTTGTTGCGACTTGAGCGGAAAACGTAGAAGATTCGCGCCAACTCTGTGTTCGCGCCGTTCCATTTTAGTTAGAGGGTGGCAGCAGCACTGTACGGAAATTACGGGCAACATTGCAAAAGACGTTACGCATTCCGCGTGCAGGTGGCGCGAGCGTGGGCGATTGAACCGAGCGGTGCCGAAACTAGCGCCGTGCGTGGTCGAGCGCGGCCGAGCGATTCCCTCACGGCAGCAGCCATTTTCTGTGAAAGTTGAGTGGCTCGCGAGTGAATTTTCGTGAAAATCACCTTGATTTGGCTGGAATTGGGGCGCTTCGGATGAATCGTGCACTGACAGATGGCTTGCCTTAACAACCTGAAGCAAGAAATCAAAACTCTGGAGGCCATCTTTCCCAAAAACCATGAACGATTGCAGATCTACTCTGCCAGTGTCGACGAGCTGAGTTGCAGGTTCGTCGGCAAGAGTGGCAAGAAATACGACATCCACGCCAATATCACCGTAAGTGTGCCTCGCCGACGACCACCTAGGCTCGTGGGGCGGCCGCTGGCCGCCCCCGGCCAGTCCCCGGGGGATCGGGGGCAAGGTCAGCGCCGCTGTCACTCGGCTTGCGAGCGCTTGAAGTCCGAGGGGCTCTTTAAAAAGTCAGATGAATCCATCATGGCAGCGTACGAACGACGGAGAACGAAAGATGGAAATTAACCGTTTTGTTTTTCATCAACTTGTGCGGCCGCACTGAGGCCACGGCCGCCTGGCGCCTCGCACGGCGCCGAGGCCCCTGCTGACACCTGACATTTGACGCCTCGCAATTTACAATTATTAAGCCTTTTTTCCAGCACCAATTTTCCCAAAATCCGCGTTCGTCTCATGCTCGGGAAAAATTAAAAATTTTTTAATCTCGGTTTCATTTTGATTTAGGTGTTTGCTTGGAAGTTTGGGCTCAGGGGACGGGGCGCTCGGAAGCGATTTTTTGTTGCCAAGTGCCACCTCCTTTTGTTTGTGTACACATGCACGTCGTCCCATGACTGCCTGCTCGATTTTTTTTGCATCTGCTCAAAAGCCGTGGTTCCGTTTGCATATTTCAAATTCAGCATGCCAAGCTTTCAATTCTGCATATTTAGAAAAATTTAGATTTGGCTGTACCGCATTGCCATACAAAGCGACTTTCTGACCTTCAAAATCGATCAATTGTGTTATTTGCCTATCTGTACTCGTTTCCTGGTTGTATGCCAAAATCTTCATTTAAATTTAACTAAAAGGTAATTAAAAAATACGTTTTAAACTTCAATTATCAGTTTGTACGCTGTCGTAAAATTATAGTTTTTAACAAATATTATTCCAGTAATCGCTATTTAAAAATAAATCAGCTTGGTAATAATGAAACTACTTTTTAAATGCAATAATAAATGTTCAAATTATATCTTTATCACAGAATTTAGATGACCAAAGGTCTAAAAATGCAATTTTGAACTGCCCGTATACTATCGACCGTTATAATTTATTTAAGGTCTCTTTTTGTAATTCCAATTTGGTTCTGCTATTTCAATTTTTTCCCTCTTTTTTTGTGGAGAAAAATAAGTGATTTCAGTTGAAAGCGGTATATTTTTAGTATTGCAGCTCAAGAAATTCACACTAATTAAACCCTGAACATGTGGTTTCAATCAGGGCCGCTCCCTGCAAGTGACGCAAACAAATGGTCAGAATTTTCAGCAGAGCGTGTCAAATGAATAATCAAGTCTTGTTGTGAATAACGACTTTCTGCAACGGAAGTGGTTCCAGCGTACGGTCGCCGTATTTATTTTTTACCATAGCCAAGTCAAGGTCCTTGTTAATTTGTCTCAGAAATCGACCGGCCGGCAGCTAAATTTAATTATTAATTTGCATACTCCGGCCAGGTTCAAGTTCAAATCCCGCGATTGGGCTTTTTGTCTAGGAAGAGAAATTTGCGAATTGCTTCGGCGCTTGGCTAACTTACTGGAAAATAGTGTGCCGATTCTTATGAGATAAAATTATGCCGGGCAGAGCAGCTGGAAACTTTCCCTTTTGTTACCCGTTGCCGAGGCATCATGCTGGCGCACGACAACGTGCATAATGAGCCCTATCTTTTTTTTTAACAGGGAAGTCGAGGGAATAATTGAAATTTTCGTTCTCCTTAAGGGTGTTTCTACGATAATGCGGCGCAGAAGAATTGTAAATATTTTTATTTTTTCTGAAAATATTATTATCGCGCCACACAACGTCGGTGATTTTAGGCCGGTTTTCTGAATAGTTAATTAAATACCGGTATGTAAAATATTTTTGAAAAATGCTTATAATTTTGGACTGAGGAGTGGTATTATTATAAATATCGTATTTTTCCATCATAAACTAATGCACAAACCTAAATTTATACAATATACATGTTTTTCGTCGCAAAAAGTCCAAATTTTGGTGAAATTAGAACTTGCATACCGGTTTTTATTACACAATAACCGGTATATCTCAATATCTGTCAGAAGAAACCGAAATTTTTTCATACCAACGTGAAGTTAGCCACTATAGCTTTCGAATGAGACCATAAAAACGATATGTTTCTTGCCTTTTTAAATTTTGGCTAATGGATATAAAACGGTTTTGTTAGTTTTCCTGCTTCCAAGATAGGGCTATTTTTGAAAATCGGCTGTAACTTTTTTTTGGGCAGATGAAATTTTCTGAAAATTTAGACACGTATTAAGGATGTGATAACGAATCGGCCAATGTGCCATATGACCACACTTTCTTGGCTTTCCCGCATTTTCCAACCCTATTTGACCCTTTTTGGGAAATTTTGGATTTTCTCAAAAATGGAAAATGCAAAACTAATTTCCTTTGGGGAAGTTTGTGCCTATGAGTGACGTCAAAATTTGGCTATCTCAGATTTAATTTTCCGGTTGCATACCTTCAGGGGCAGGCATTGAAGTATTTTTACCCTGATTTCAGGGTACTTAACCCTTTCATAGAAAATAATTGTTAATGTAAAAAATATTGGAAATTTTATCAGCATTCAGAATATATGCTCGTTTTTAACGTAGGACTTATACTTAATGAGATACAAGCGGAAAAGCAAACCCCTTTATAACTCAGCCATTTTCCGGAAAAGTCGGAAAAATTTTTCAAAAAAGCTCTTATAATGGGCAAATAAAAGAGAAAAATTTGTTGGAAATATTTTGCAGTCATTTTTTCAAAATATTTGCAAATTCAGTGGGCGTACCCTACGATGATCGCCGAAACAGCCTTAAAGAATGTAATTATTTTTAATTTACAGGGTGATTCTTAAGCCCAGTATAATTTAGTCTGTGCAAATAAGCCTGGACTAGGTTGTGTGGAAAAATTATCTCTTCATTTTCTAGAGCGTTGCCTGTCTATTTAATCTTGGCGCGTTAACAGTTAGAATACATTTCTTGATCTTGATGGAAACTAGATAAGTCTGACGGTCACACCTTGAAAAAGTAGACCACAAAGTTGCGAAGAATCAATTGCATGATTAATAATGTTATAAATTAGTTGTGAATTCATATTTCTGATTAATATTGTTTAAGGACTGAAAAATTATGGTCATAATTATTGACCAAATTCTTGTAAAAATTTACATTGAAATTAATATTGATTGGGAAACGGATTTGTTTTTGCTGAGAGGAAAAACGTTTTGTTAAAAGTTCCAAGATCAAAAAGAGCAGTAAGCCTCAATTTGTGTCAATTTTTTTCTTTGCTGTCATTGATGATGGGTTGAATTTAACTTGGACTTGTTTTTCCTTTTCGTTTCTACTTATAATCATGAGTCACGACTTCTCACAAGCAGAAAAATTCCTTCCTCTTGCCGTTCTGAATTTTTACTTCGCATTCGCACACTGGCGCAATGGAATTTGCGATCGGGGTTGCAAGGTGTAGAAAAGGTTGCGGCGAGCAGCTGATGCCTGAGACGGTGTCGCTTGCACAGCTGCCCCATTTCCTCGCGCGAAAGTGGGCCGCACACGAGTATGTGCCGCCACCGCCTCTGCTGCTGGAACGTTTATTGATCAAAATAGTAATAACAAGTGCATACGCTAGTCTTGCCGTGCAGAGAACTACCCTTTCTCAACCTTGCCTATATTGATTTTAAAAATAATTAAATGTTTTTGAACACAAATCGAACAGGCAATTTCAAAATGATTTTTTTCATAAACCACAAAAGCAGCAGAAGGTTGAAAAAGAAATTATTATAAAGCTTGGCTTTTTTTAAATAATTATTCCTGGCCAGTTCAAATGCACAGTTAAGCCTCTCCGTTCTTTTGTGTAGTTGAAAGACTCCTTTGGTATCTAGCTCGATTTGCGCTGCATTGTGCAAACGTGCCACTTGAAATCTAGAGTTTCAAGGCTCAGTCGACGCTGCCTGGGTAAACATTTTTATTATTTGTCGGTCCGACAAAGACGCACGCCCAGATTGCTTGCACTTTTTGTTGCGTTATTTAATCATAACTTTGCAACTCTCAGCTGTGGCGCAAAACACGTGCCATTTGTGTAATTTAGTAGGAAAATAAATATATGACTCGTTCATTGCTTTAATTTTATAATGTTAATTATGCTTACTTAGTGAAATTATATCGGTAAAAAATGATTACTGATTTTGAATCCATATATTATCTCCTCATTCGTTCACAATTTATAGAAATTCATATCATTTTCAACAAAATTTTATATAATTTCAATTCCTTTCATTTTTTTTTTCATTTTATTATTATTATTATTTTTTTTTTTTGCAAAGCCACCACATTTGTTCTAAACTTCAGATTTTTTTTTAGTTTAATGTAAATGGTGGCAAATCAAAGTTCAAGCACTATATCCTCCCAGTTGACTCTGATATCTTCTTCTGGGCCGGAAAAGGTGCTTACATTAATAAATTTAAAAATAAACCACGCTTTCTCAAAACTGCAAGCGCCAAAAAGTTGGTAAAATAATAATCAATCAAAAACTTATGCACATCTTTAATGTATTACAAAAGTTTTAGAAATAGTGCACTCTGCTTTTTTAAATGTCAAACCGTTGAAAGTATTATGCAATAATTAAAATGACACCGCTGCTTCTCTCTGATTGTGAGAAGTAGAAGCGCCCGTTAGGTTCCTTCGTTGCATTGTGCGAGATGGAAAGTGTGAAATCGAGAGCCTCTCACTGATGCCGGCAATGCTTGCGTGTTTCAGGAAACGTACCCGTCCACACCTCCTGTCTGGTTTGCCGAGTCGGAGGAGACTAGCATAACCAATGCGGTCCAGATCCTCTGCAACACCTCAGGAAGAGACAATCATGTGAGTTTTACTGCCTTTCTCTCTCCTTACTTCACCTGAAATCGCCACCACAATTGTTCTAAACTTCAGATCTATTTTGTTGTTTAATGTAAATGGTGGCAAATTGATGCTCAAGCACTATATCCTCCCAGCTGGCTTTGATGCCTTCTGGGCCGGAAAGGGTGCTCACAATTAACTCTAATTAACTCTTAAACTTAATAAAAAATTGTATTATTAATAAAATTTGATTTGCTCTCATAAATGATAAATAATCAGCTCAAATAAATAAATTGAATTTCCTTTCAGGTTTTGCATCAAGTGCAGATCCTGCTGCGAGAGCTGTGCCGGCTTCACTCGGTGCCGCTGCCAAGGGAGATGGACCAGCTTTCGTTAGACTTTGTTTCGGGCTTCAATGCTGGCAACCCGGTGCCGCCGAAGCCCGACGAAGAAATGGAGGATGATGAGGACGACGATGATGACGATGGCGAAGAGGACCTGCATTTAGAAATGGACGAAGTGGAAGTGCCATCAAAAAGCAAGAGCGATGAGATGGAGCAGGAGCACCTGGCCACACTCGAGAGGCTGCGGCAGAACCAGCGCCAAGACTACCTCAAGGGCTCCGTGTCTGGCTCCGTCCAAGCCACCGACCGCCTAATGAAGGAGCTTCGGGACATCTACAGATCAGACAGCTTCAAAAAACGTAATTATGATAAATTTATTTCTAAATATTATCAAATTGCTGCAAAGTAACCAAGGTTATTTAAATGGTTTTCAATTTTTCACTTGACTTTTCAATTACTAGTTTTTAAGAAAGTAAAATTAATCTTTACTTCCTGCTTAATAAGAAAAAATGTTCACTGAATAATATGAAACAAGAATTAAATGACAAATTTCCTTACTTATACTCAAAATTGAACTACCTGGCAGGTATTTACAATGTGGACCTGGTGAACGACAGCCTTTATGAGTGGAATGTGCGTCTAATGAGCGTTGACCCCGACTCACCGTTGCACAACGACCTTGTCATGCTCAAAGAAAAAGAGGGAAAGGACAGCATCCAGCTCAATATAATTTTCAAAGTATGCAAATTACCTTTTCTTAACCATTGCAGTTTTCTCATTACGAATTTTTTGAGCAGGAGACGTACCCCTTTGAGCCACCGTTCGTCAGAGTTGTCCACCCTATGATCTCAGGCGGCTATGTGCTGGTGGGTGGTGCCATTTGCATGGAGCTGCTAACAAAACAAGGCTGGAGTTCTGCATACACAGTAGAGGCAGTGATAATGCAAATCGCTGCCACTTTGGTGAAGGGCAAGGCGCGCATCCAATTCGGAGCAACCAAAGTCTGCAGCCAAGTGAGATCCAAAATAATACATCCACATGTTCATTATTCTAAAACGCTATTTCAAACAGGGCCAGTACAGCTTGGCTAGAGCCCAGCAGTCTTTCAAATCTCTGGTGCAGATTCACGAAAAGAATGGTACAAGTATTTTATATTTTTCTATTATTTAAAAGACTTCATTTTTGTGTATTTTAGGGTGGTTTACGCCTCCAAAAGAAGACGGTTAATGAGTGCACCACTTGTTCCCCCTCCCCATTCACCAAGGACTTCTGTTACAAACCCGCACTTTGTTCGAGAATCGTTCATCAAGTTCATACTGCACACTGTAAAAATTCATGTGAATAGTTTTTGCGCATCGAAGCCGTGACGACTTCCTGATTTCCAAGTGAAGCTCAAGACAACATTCAGTGGCTCTCGGTGCAACAATTTAAGCAAGCAACTGCATTTTCAGTTCTTGAAATCGAAGTAGAAATTAATAGAGATGTGGTGCAAGTGAATGGTTTACGAGATGATTGAGTTTTCCGCTGTTGAAAATTAATAAATGCTTCCTTTTTGCTATGTAAGATTTTTGTACGACAATATTATCAAAATTGGAATAACGAGTATGGGCGACACTTTGATTGGTTATTCAGTTGAGTTTGAATACTCGGGAATGTGCAACACTTGTTTAAGAAGAACTTCTTGATGAATGCTATGAATATTGAATGCTGCCAACGTGCTGTAAATACAAGTAAAATGCAGCGATGTGTGATATTTTTAACAGACTAACTGCGAATAAACAAACACTGATGATAAAAGTGAAAACCAAAACAAAAAAGGAAAAAAAAATTATCATATGCATCAGCATGTGAAGGAGATGATGGAGCTGAAGATACATATATAAAACAACTGTGTAGCCATTGTGTCTGTCATTCAAGAAAGTGAGCAAAAAAATTTAAAAAAAAGAATGAAATTCACACAGCACATGAAATCACCCACCATTTGCATGATAATAGCTGAGAAATCAGAGCACATTCCAAACTCTGATGGTTAAAGGAAATATTTAAAAAGTAGGAGTAATTCTCTACAAATGTAATATCTCTTTTCTCTATTGATCCAAATACCTAATGTCGTGTTTTACCTCCTTTTGTGATGCAGTGAGTAATTATCAAGGTGGAATAACAATTTGTAAACAAGCCTGAGCCTGACTCATCATAAGCAAACATTTCTTTTTGTTAATTATCCAAGAAATTAATATTCCATTTTTGTTGTCTCAAAAGCAGAACTGAAATGTTTCCGTAAATTTTTATTGTTGGTTGCTTCGAGAACCAGACATTTTGTTTTGGAGCTAATGCCTAGCATTAATAGAATTGAAAATGAAATTTTGTTCCAATAAGGATCATGAATGTATTTTGAGTGGAGTGTCTTCTTTCTTGACTTGACAACTATAAGTGGTTGTAATATAAATAATAACTTCTCAGTTTTTAAATTACAACAGAAATGAGAATTGGGTGTATTTTAATCAGACAACTTATAAGCATCTGAAAAATGCCAAATAGTTAGGCATCAAATAATTTTCCAAATAAACACATTCATGATTTTAGGAGAATATGAAATTTTTAGTTCCTACTTGAACCGAGATTGAACTACATCTGTATAAATTAATTCAACAGCTGCTATTAAAAGAACAAGAAGTAAATAGTTCCCTCGCGTTGTTAATAAGATAATTCATTAATAAACTGTCACATGCATGTGCTGAAATGAGGAATCATATATTTTGTCTCAGTTTCAATTTGTGGCTTTACAAGGAATTTCTCTTGTTGTGTTAAGAAAGTGCTTCTTTGTTGTGTTGAAAAAGAGTTGATGAGAATACTGAGAAAATCATTGATTTTTTTGTGGCGTTTGCGAAGAATTGAAATTTGTTTTATTGTAACTGTTAGGAAGTAAGTGGAAAGAAAGATATACCCCCTAGCATAACAATACAAATTGTATTTCATTACTGTAAAATAAATATAAAGTGCTTATAAAATACATTTATTTGAAAAATCTAAATCCTCAACTACAGCCAATTATTTCATTTTTCTTTGTGATCAAAATTACCAAAACCTTGTCTAAGTAAAGAAACTCAGTATGATCAGTATTTATTTCATTTAAATGAATTAAATAAAAAATAGCTTTTGAGGTATGTATGTATTTATTTGAAATACATAATTATTTTAATATTTAAACACTAACAGAATTAAAAGATAGGTTTGACAATGAGATCCTGGTAAATGGATTATTTTGTGTGGCAAAAAGGATATTAACATTTGGCACAATGTTGTTCATCCTTGTTAGAAATTAAAAATTTACAAAGGTAGCACAATAAAATTACATGGCTTGCATTTCTGAATGGCAAAATTACATTATTGTAGGTCAGATCAAATAGACAATATTTGTCCTTGAATAATATTTTTAACTTTGTATTAAAACAAATCAGTCTATAGAAACGGTTATGAAATTAGGAATGTGGTGGGATATATTTAAAAATGTGGAAGGCATACTTTTCCAGCAAAAAGTTCTGATATTACGGTGATCCACAAAGCCAGCACAAAGAAAATGTATGACAATCCAACGTGGTAGCTGTTCGGCAGTTGATAAGGTTGCCCTCCAATTTCATCAACATGAAAGCCGAGGGGGAATATTACTGCAGCTAACGAGAAAAGCACCACTGTGAACAGAAAAGAGATTAAATTTCTTTATAAATTAAAACTTTGAAGGTTAACGATTAATGTTCTATGCATTTTACGCAAACACATCAACGAAGAACAATTTTAATAGCTTACTAGCTGTAAATCCAACCCAGCGAGCATAGGGAATGACGTTTCGGTCCCAATGGGATGCCACCAGCAATATGATAGTTGTCGTAACACAAACGCAGCCCACAAAGATGCAAATCAGCGCGATCAGCCATTCAATCTGCAGGTCAGGAGTGAAGCAAACCTGTGGCCGGTTATAAAGGGTCATGCAGGTCCACATCAGGCCCAGCTTGGTGTCACCTGCATTATACAAACAGTTAAAATATTTTGGATCAACAAAAGTTCCACAAAAAGAGTATGATTCAATTTTACCTCCAACTTCTGTGACAATCCAGTCGGGCATCGCCAGGCTTATTATGGCAAATACGTCGGCAGCTACGAAGAGCGCTCCAGATATAACAGTCAATCGGTCCATATTTCAATTAAGTATTTTGTTAAGCAAACATAACAAAAGCTTGTAGATCCTCTGCTCCTGTAACCGAGTTTCAATGTTGCAAAGACGGAAGCAACGGAAGCAACGACGGAAGCAGTGGAAGCACAACAGAAAACAATCACAAATCCCCTCCACATCGATCTCCAGCTGTGAAAAATGTCAAAAAATACACAACAACCGGTTAACAGGTTTTGTAAATTTACGGTATTTGATATTTTCGTGATTAAAAATACGTATTAGCAATTATAGGCTAATATTTTGTAGTAAAATACATATCTAAAACAATTTAAATCGTTAAAATTAAATTTTAGTTGTGATTTTCTTTAAAGAAAATCAGAAGCATTGATCATTAATATTACCGGTATAATTTAAAAACCGGTTTACATCAGGTGGTTTATTTAAAAAAAGAAACATAAACAAAACAAATCCGTGCACGACAAAAAGCGGAGCAGCGGAGGAAATTTGGAAATTTGTTTAATTTATTTTAATCAAGTAATCGAGTATTGAAAATTGGCTGTCGACTGAAAGTCACAAAATACATACATATTTTAAGGTATTGCGCTAATATGTGATTTTTCGATTTTAAATATTTAAAATATTCAGTATTCAATCATCTTAAAATTATATTATGTATATTATGCATAAAATGTTAAAAAATTTTTGTAGCAGAAAAGATGCAAGATTTCTTTGACAAAGAAATTTTACAAATTTTGCGATCGGACCGACACACTACTAGACCAGCTATTATTTGGAGAGATATTTTGAAAACACACCGAGATTTTGTTATATCCTACAACAAGCTGGAAAGTGAATCAACAAAAATTTCCAGGTTGTTGAAGGAGAGCTTCGTCCAGCAAAATTCCTTTTTGGCCTTTTTATTGGCTGATTCTGCTCACTTCTGTGCTCCTGCCATAATCTTGGGGTAAGCAACAATTTTGAAAATGTATTTTGATTTTCTATATTTTTTTCTGTACATGTCTAGAATCTTGAAACAAGGCTGCGCATTTGTGCCGTTGCTAGACTTCAATGCTAAAATTTCCGAGAGCTTGCAAATTGAGTGGATCATCACTGGGCATGTCCCCCCTGAAAATTATTCAAAACTTCAGGAGTTCAAAATTTTTGGAATCACCTTATGGTTGTGCCGAACATCATTTACAAGCAAACCCTCAACCAGAAAATTTGCTTATGCCATGACGACGTCTGGATCGACAGGGGATGAAAAGATAGTTCAAGTGCCTCACAAAGCAATAGTCCCAAACATAATATATTTTGAGTAAAAAAGAAAAATTTAATTTGAAAATCCGTTTTCTAGTATTCTATTTTCTGTGTAGGAGTAAATTTTTGGTTAATTCTACTGACATTTTCTTTAATTCGGCACCTCAGACATTTGACCCTTTTGTTGTGGAACTTTTCACAACATTGTACTCCGGAGCAGCTCTTCTGATGGTTCCTCCATCTCTTAAGTCAAGACCAAATTTATTGTTCAAAGCTATCTCAAAAAATCCTGAGCCAACCATCATTCAAGCAACACCATCTTTGATCCGAAGTTTAGGAATTGAAAGAATTAAATTTATTCTTGGTTGGTTCCTAATTATTTTCAAATTTAAAATTTGTTTTATTAAATAATTGAATGTTTTTTAAAGGTGATACAAGTCAACTCAGAATCTTGGCGTTTGGTGGTGAAGCGCCTCCGTCAAAATCTCAGCTCAGAGAGTGGAAACATAAAAATAACAAAACTCGTCTTTTCAATGTTTACGGCGTAACTGAAGTCTCATGCTGGTCATCATGTGAAGAAGTTAATGCTTGGAGTGAAGACGAAGTTACTCTAGGAGAGGCCTTGCCCTTCAATGAGTTTGAAGTTCGTTTGCTGGAAGAAGAGGGCAGCCAGGAGGAAGGCGCAGGACAATTATTTATAAGTATAATTATTTTTACTCAATAAGATAAAAAAAATTAATTACGAAGTTTTAGCAACCAGAGACAAAATGTGTACAATTGATGAGGAATGTATGGAGAACAAGTGGCATGCAACTGGAGACGTGGTCAAAGTTCTTCATAATGGAAAAATTCAATATCTCGGAAGGCTACAAGAGACAAAAACAGTGAAGAAAATGGGCCAAAAAGTGAGTCTTTGTGACATAGAAAGAGAGGCACTGAGACTACCTTTTGTGGAAAATTGTGTCGCAGAAAAGAACTTCTCAGATGTTTTGAAAATAGTGCTCTTTATCGTTCGAAGCCGTAATTGTAAAATATCAAAACGCAACCTGCAATTGGAAGTCTTGGCACATCTCCATGCAAACTTGCCGTCAATATCAGTTCCCGACGTGATCTTTGTGATGAACAATTTTCCGCTGTCAAGAAACTCAAAAATCGATCTAAGGAAACTCGCGTGCAGGGCTAGACGACAGCTGAAAAGGTCAATTCTGTTTGATGAAATTCAAGGAGAAGAGGAATTAAAAGTGATTAAATATTGCTGATAACTTTATCACTTTAACTAAAAATTTTGTTATAGCAAACTGTGAGAGAGGCATGGATTTTATCATTGGGATTGCATACTGAGTCGGAAATCTCTGACGAGTCTCTTTTCATTACAAGTGGAGGCGACTCTGTCAAGGCTCTTCTCTTTTATGGGCAGTTGTTGACCAAGCTAGGAATTGAAAGTGACCGGCCCCAATTACTTACAACCATACTTGAATGCAGTTTCAGTAAAATTTTTGACTGTTTCAAAGGTAATCTAATATCATGGTTTTTTTTATAAACAAGCACCCTATCATGCTAAATTTATTCTAGATTTACTGAAGTCTAGAGGAATTGAAGAAGAAGCTATCCAAAAAAACTCCAAAGTCACAAAGGCTGCCAAAGAATTTCCAGGAACCAAGGACCTTACAGCAATTCCAGATCTGCAAATTGCATTTATGTTGTGCAAAGGACAGAGTAGCCACTTAATCCCTGACTCGTACAACACTTACTCAAAAACTGAATTGAATGGAGCTTCTTTCCTTGACTTTAAAGAGCAGTGGAAAGTTGATTTTATGAAGTGTGTTGACGCATCCCCACTCATTGTGGGATTTACAAGGTAAAACAAATATTAATTGGTACACATTATTTAAAAAAAAAAATTCATTAGCGGACAGACAGTTGCCTTTGTAGGATCTCACTCTGGTAAATTTGCCTGCGTTGATGTGCACACCGGACTAGAGTTATGGTTCCTGCAACTTCCAGATAGAATTGAAGCAACTGCTTCTATAAGTCAATGTGGAGCTCGAATTTTTGTTGGTAATTGATACATATCTATCTGGATTATAACCTCAACTAACAATTCATTCAATCAGGGTGCTACGATGGATCACTTTATTGTATTGAAAGTCAAAGTGGAACTCTTGGTTGGAAATTTGAAACTGGTGGTATGATAAAAAGTTCGGCTGTCACTTATGAGGATTTTGTTTTAATCGGATCATATGATCAGATATTATACTTTATCAAGCAAAAGGTAAGGGCATATATACTGTTAAAACTTTTGAAAATTACCTTTAAAAAATAATTTTAGGACGGAGCTTGTGAATGGAAGTACAATTTGAGACGAGGTTCAATTTTTGCTACACCTTGTCTGGTGGAAAACTTGGCCATAGTAGCCACCTTAGGAGGTCATCTAGTTGCAGTAAGTTTGGAGAACAAGAGAGAAATATGGTCTTTAAACCAAGGAAAGCCATTCTTTGCATCTCCCATGTTACTGAATAGCGATACCGTAGTGACTGGGAATGTCGGAGGATTAATCAGTTTTCTCCAACCTGCAAGTGGCTACACCAAGTACAGTCTGCAGACGTCAGGTGATTTATTTGCTTCATTTACAACATTCAAATCAAATTTGATTTACACCAACAAGACAAAGATTTGCTGTTTTGACTTTTGCCAGTTTACATGTATGTGGGAGTTTGAATCAGGCACTCGTATTACAAGTACCCCTTTTGTGCAGCAAAAGTTTTTGATTTTAACATGTTCAAATGTGATTTGCCTCATTGATATAGTGGATCGAATGATTGTTTGGAGACGAGAACTGGCAAAAGAAATATTTTCAAGTCCAATTTTGTGCAAAGCGAGCATAGTTTTTGGGTGCAGAGATAATTTCTTATATTGCTACAAAAATATTATTTAAATAAAACGAAATTTGAATTATTTCTTTGGAACTTTTATTTCATTAGAATTCACTGCATAAAGAATGGTACTTACAAATCGCATTTCAATATTTCTAAAGTTATCCTATTTGTTTTGCAAGTTATTTCCATTCACTTAATTGTACTAAAGAATCCAATATTCAGACAAAACTTTGAAAGTTACTATATATCAAGGGCCGAATGTTGTAAGTGCTTATTCGGGAATAGCAACTTGTTCCTCTTCCATGCTTTCCTCTTCCTCCTTCTCAGACTCGACCAGTTCAGGAACGTCCTGCATGCTGATGGCCTTCTTTTTGCCTTTGTAACTAGACCTCCTAGCAGTCCCCTTCTTAGGTCTGCCTGTCTTCCTCTTTTTAACTTTAGAAACTTCCTCTTCTTCTGCTGACTCCTCCTCAGATCCTACAAATTTTTTTTTCTATATAATTTAAGGAGAAATTTAATAAAAAAAATGTATGTACCTTTGTCAGGAATATTTTTTTTGTAGTTTACTCTTTCACCATATTTCATTTTTTGGGGCCTTCCTCGGCATCTTGCAGGCCTTGCAGTGAAATCACCCATCCGTTGCTCCTGCAGGCCAAGGCCAGGAGGCACATCCTTGAACTTGCCCAAAGCACTTCTGTCAAGCAGTATTTGCATAGGCGGAAAAGCTGGCTGGACCAAAACTTTGCTTTGCTGGGAGGTATTGAGCAAGCTCTGGGCCATTCCAGCTGGCAATGAGAGCTGGTAATTGATCTTGGGCTCAACCAGCTCATTATATTCTTGATGAATGCTTGCACGGCGGCCTCGGCTGTTCTTTGGGCCATAGTAAACAGGCGGATTCTCTCTCACCACATCAGTCAAGGACGAGCCTGGCTTGAACATGCTCAGATCATCAAAACTGCTCACAGACAAATCATCCATCCTACCACCTTTCTTTGACATGACTGGATTTTAAAAATTGTTAGAAAATTATATGATTTTTAATCGATTATTAAAACCTCTGGAATACAGGAAAGGAGGGAGAGTGTCAATAACAGGAGTTGTGCCAAAATTACTGTTCTTCTGCTTTGATATTCTGTAAGATTAACAAAACAAAAACATTAAAAATAGCCTAAATTTACTTTTCCTTATTTTACTGCCGTTTGGGTCCAGAGCTTGGCATCTGAAAGTGCATGGGCTTAGGCATGTTCCTTGGCAAGATCTGTTTGCCTTTTTCATTATTTTGTTCTTGCCTTTGCTTTCTTCCATACTGCCTTTTGGCTTAATTAGCACTTGTATCCGCTCCTTGTATGACCATCAAATCACCGTCAAGTGGAGGACAATCGGCAGCAGGTGTGCTGAGATTTAAAATTATTTAAGACTTTAATTCTTGAAATTGTTGAACCTCACCTGTCAACATAATTTATTTTCACCAGCAGTTTCTCAGGCGACTTGTCAGCATTTTCTGGATCAGCAATTGGGTCTCTCGGAACAACCAAAACCACTTCATCTGCTTGTGGAATGATAATTGGTTTCCTCTTCACAGGAGATAGCTCGCCATTGTTGCAGGCCTCTCCCACATCAATGAGAAAAATGCTTGCAAGTTCAGGACACTTGAAAAAAAATTCATTTCGGTATTTATATTTAACATATTATTACTTTTGTATAAATGTTTCATTTTTAAATGATAATATGCAACTTACAGCTTCAGCATCTCTTTTGTCCAGAGCTCTAGATATTTTGGGAAGATCAACCAAAGCTAATTCATTTCTGTGTTCCTTCTGGAGTTCTACAGAGGAAAGAAAAATTCATAATTTTAATTAGCTATTGTGGGACCAAAAATTCATACAAACCTTCAAAGGCTTTTCTCTCCCAAACAGTCTCAATTTTTTTAGCCATCTCTTCATATGGCATGGTGGGCCTGGTGATCACTGTTGGTAAATAAGCGCACTGAAAAAAGTTAAGAAATAAAAAGTTTATATGTATTTGAATAATTTCTTTTAATTAAAATAAATCTCATTCCATGAATTATTTAAATCTCTGCTTAAACCCATATATTAGAAAAAAAAAAATTCATTTTACCTGCAAATTGCTGCAGCGAACATGCGCCGATTTTTCAGAGAACTGCTTGACGACAATCTTTGATTGCCCATCGTTGCAGTTGTATGGGCATGGAACGCCTTCCACCGTTTCCTGATTGTAAACCACCTTGTGATTAATATCATTCAGAACATTACGTCCACTCATCGCTCAGTTTGCCTATAGCTGAAGAATTGAAAATTGTATTCATTGCATAAGTATAATTATTTGCTATGAAACTTATAATATTAACAAGAAATTTTACTTGAAATTTTGTTGCCTCAAAGTTTTAATCGAGTTTAAATTCTGATCTCCAGCTTGATGTAATATTATTGAAATTTCAGCAAAAAAATGTAAATACAAATAAACTATAATGTGCGAATTACATAAATGGCATGAGACATAATGCAATTTATGTATAAAAACTGGAGATTGGAGCAATAATTCGTTCGAACTAGAGTACAAATTATTATTATACATTAAGAGTGTGATTTAAGAACTCTCATCTCTCTAGAAATTCTGGCCATTTTGGCATTTTGATGAAAGAATAAAAACGTGCACCCAAATGCAGTATCATATTATGTGCGTTTTTTGTACATACATAAATAAATTAAAAATGTTTAGAATTTTACTTGCACGATGAACGCTAATTACATAAGACTGCGCGAATTCACGTCTGTCCACTTGTCCTTTCTTGAGAGCTCGCGTTCGTCTCCTGGTCGTCCTTTCCTTTCAAGGATTTCGGTGTCCAACTCCAAACATCCAACACCGTCCGTTTGCCTTGGCTATCGCTTTCGTTTCGTGTTTCGTTTCTCTTTCTCAGGAGTTTCTGCCGTTTCTGGACTTCTGTGGAGAGAAAAAAATTAGCTTTTCCTCATTCCTCAATCTTCGAAAGTCGGAACCCCCACCTCCACCCATTCCACCCTGCTAATACTGCGACTGCAACTCACACTGCCTGCCAAGAAACAAGAAACATAGCACATAAACAAAAGAGAAAGAGGAGCCGACTGAGCCGAGAAGGGGGAATTCGAGAAAATCAAGAGATTCGATCAGGAGAACGATTCGCGACGTGTTTAAACACGTTCCAACAATGAGAAAATGAGGAATGAAGATAAATAATGTTAATGTTAATGCAGGAGGTTTATTATGTACATACTTTAGCGCCCTGCCTGCTCTCCTTTTAATGTAATTCAAAGTTTCAAAGCTTCATCCTCTCATAGACATTTAACCGTCCAGCACGTCGCCATAAGCCAATTTTTTTCTTTGCTGGCGCTTTGTGCTTGTGTTTTGTGTGTGAAGAACGGTTAGAAGTTTGAAAAGAGCGTAAGGGCGTAAAAATTTGTACAGCATATTGAATTGATTATTCAATGATTGTATTCTCTGACTTCTGAGACTTCTCTGTTTGTTTTATAATCTTTGCTCTCTGTTCTGTATCTGCACAGCCTGGCTGTGCCTTGTATCATAAAATGTGAAACATTACAAGTAAAAGTTTTTATTGATAATTATTTATTGCTCATGTTTATGCTAACGTTAACTTTCTCTTGTGTGATAAATAATTATTTAAATTTTTTTTTAAGTTTCAGCACGATTTTTCTAAATAAGCACCTATTTATAACATTAGTCGTTTTTTGGTACATTTTAATTCTCAATTTTATTTATCAAAAAATGATAAAAACTGATAAATTGCCAATACATATTGCAAGTGGTCTTAAAAATATCATATTCTTAAAAATCGTCACTAGAAGCAGATCTCATTTCTCTTTTAGTTGTACAGAAATATCCTTATCCATATAAATTTTTTGGTCCCTCAAGAAAATTTATTTTTACTTCTTTTTTGCTTTATATATTCTACAAAATTGCAGAAAGTAGAAAAATTAATCAAAATTATGCATTATTTGTGCGTGCCTGTGTTAAAATTAATATTTTCTAAAAATTTCAGCTTCTCTGCAAATTTAATCTGACGAACGAAAATTGAAAATGCTGAAGAAGCTGATCCTGGTGCAGAAGCTCGACCGAAAGGTCAGGGAGTGTGACGAAATGAACGAGTGTATTGGGCCAATGCTCAAATTGCTCACAGCTGAAAAAAACAAACTCATGGTATAATGAAAAATTGTTTTATCATATATTTAATTTAAATATGTACAAATTTTGCTTAGATTCAAAGACTGGAGATTGAGAGTGAGTTGCGTCAAATGGGACAAGATCCTCGGGCTATCCTTAAGTCCCTCGGACTTGAAAGCAGCTCTGGCACTGCCGAAATTGAAGACCACCTGTTGGCCAGTTCTTTTGATGGTAAAAACGTTTGAGTGAAAGAATCTTAAAATCATCTAAAAGTTATAATAATGAACTGGATAAGATTTCTTTCATTCTATTCTCTAATTGAATGAAAATATATTGCAGACAATTTATTATATTTATGTAACTTTTGCAGAAACTTTGGACCAAGACGAGGAAAGTGCCAGTGGCCTGTACGAAGAGGATCTCAATTTGGACCAGGTTGGTCCTGTGGACTTGATCTACCTCAAACATGGAGAGGTCGAGGAGGAGGAAGAGGACGATGATGATGAGGAGGAGGAAGAGCTGAAAGAGTGGATCAACAATAATGTGGAACTGAAAGATGGTGTATTTTGCAAAGACATTAGCCAACTCAAAATTGACGACGAAGAGGATGATTCCGATGAAGAAATTTAGGATTAATTGCTAATAATTTTCCTCCATCATGCTTTTAATTTTGTTCAAGAAAACTCCTTAAAGGAAGGTCAATGTAGTATTCAGTCAAAAGGAAAATACGGTGTTGCAATAAAATCTATAGAATAATACTCTTCCAACATTTGTCTGATTTATTATTTTATTGCATCAACACAAAAGCATTTTTGCTGTTTTCAATACAAAATAGTCTCTTGTCTGCTATTTTATCATTTTAATTAAAAGAACAATTTAAGCTTTGGTGAAAAAATCATACATAGTTCTTTTTACCAAAAACATTCATTTCTAGATGGAAAATGAATTAAAAATTTATGACTTAATAAGTGAGTATTAGATTTACAATAAAATAAAATTACAACTTTAATTCGGGGCCACTTGCTAAACAGATATTTTTTACACAAATTACGAGTGTTGCACACAAAAATGCAAATATCTAAAGCTGGCTAAAACTAAAACACTAATCATTTGACGACACAAAACACTGATTCTAGTGATTGCATAACTTAAATGATAAAATTTCACAGTACAAAAACATCGTCCAGTCGCAATTTTAAGGTTATGTATTCAGCTACCACTCTCTTATTCAATGGACTTGAACAAGGCACAAGAGAAAATCATTCCGAGAAGCTGAAACATAAAAAATGTTTTAAATATTGTTTGCAGATATTCTAACAATATCTTGGTAAAAAATTTCTTTTCCAAAATTACTATGTGAATGAAAATTATTGGCATGATATGCAACTAGCACGACTCACATGTAATGCATGTTGCATAAGAATTCCAAATTTTTTTCATTGCTACAGTTTAAAAACGTATTGAAATATATAACAACGAATTTAATTTAAAATTTACATAAATATAGATTTACTTTAACTATTGATTTTTAATTATTATCTTTAATCTAAATTTATTTTTTTCTTTTATGTAATTTTAATTATTATAATATGACAAAGAGTTGATAATAAACAGCTTACAAGGAGACATGCCGTGCTAATTCCAGCCGCTCCAATAATTTCCGCGTGGTCCTTTACAAACATCTCCGTCAGCATCAGACATCCCTCTGGGTAAATATTTTCTGACTCGTATCGACACGGAAGTTTCTGCGAAAAAAGAAGAGTTAAAAGCGGGTTCATGTGTGCGCTGGATAATCTCGCGCAAGAGGAATTTCGCAAATAAACCACGCCGCACGTTTGGAGATCGTGAGCGATGAGCCGAGAGAGGCTCAAGGTCGGCGTTACATTATTTTAATAGCAGCCTGAAAAAGTGGCCGACGAAGCGCTTCCTCACCTTGCCTTCCTCGTCTTCGCGGCAGCAACTGTCTGGCAAGTTGTCACCCCAGTCTTGATATGAATTCACTCCGCAGCAGTGCAACTGAAAGTTTAAATTAAAAAAACTTGAATTCTCTTATTAATTATTTTTTCTGTAAATAGGAATTATACACATATTCCTCACAATTAATTTGTTTTAAATCACAAAGTTGCCTTAAAATGTTTTTAGACTAAAATTAAAATATGTATGTCAGGTTTTTATTATATTTTACCGTTTCTTGTGTCGCGTCCCAAGCCCGAGTGACTGTCCTCTTCTGTCCGTACATTCTGATGGACGCCTGCATTTCTTGTTCCATGGTGTCGTGCACCTTTTCTCTGAACACATAGCCCAAAATACCTCCAACCAGCATCACCACAAAAATAACAAGAACCAGCAGGAAATACTGAAAGAAAAAAACAGTTTTCTACGATTAAAAATGGTTTCAATCCAACTGTACTTCATTAATTAAATGAATTTGTGTCTATAATCATAGTCTGATGCTTGTGTCACAAAAATACTCATCTCATCGCGGATATATTTGCAATTTTAGTTGATTTGTTTCAAATTATTGAGAAGAAAGATATTGAATATTAGGAAAGCGCAAAAGTCAAAGTCCCTTCATTCTATTAGCTCTAAAAAGCATTTCCTTATTCATTGAAATTATGATCTCCGCGCGAAATATTTGTAACCGTGCGTGTCGTCTGTGGTGTTCATACCTTGCACTGACATTGGGCGTTCCAACAATAATTGGCTAATTAAATTTGATGCCTTGTGTCAGAATACGCACTTTGAGAGCGAGAGTATCCTGCGCGTGTTAAGTGTACAGGTGTTGTATGATTGTGTTTGTTAAAAAAAGAAACTAGCCTTAAAGTTGTGTGTATTGTGTTGTTGTGATTCAAAGGTGGTGCGCTTTGTTGCAAAAAATCACTGTTACATAAAATGTGTAGAAAAATGACACGCTGGTGAGGCCACCCAAAAAATGTTTAAAACTAAAACTTACACAGAATGAAATCTGACAGCAGAAAATTTGAGGAAAATTTCATTAAAAATTTAAAATCGTTCATCATTTTGTTAAAAAAAAATATTCACTGTATTTTGAGATGAAAAATATTGTATAAAAAAAATGTGTGAAATGTGAAAGTTTTCCAATTTATTTAGGGATGAAAGCCAAGAAAATGGGATTGAAAAGATGAAAACATCAAATTCAAACTACACCTATCAAACAAAACTTTCTCAAGTATTTTGCTCTTATAATCCCGGGCAAGAACTTACGAGCAATAAAAGACACTTGATCTCTTTGACGGCGCCCAAGCAGCCGAAGAAAGCGAGCAGGGCCACAAGGCCGCCGGTGGCCATCAAGATGTAGACAGTGCCCATGAAGAGATTGGTTCCCAGCAACTCATTAATGAACGACTTGTCCGCCAATGTCCAGACGCCAATACCAAGGACTGTGACTCCTCCACACTGAGACAAAAAATAGTTTTTACATCTAATTTTTTTGCTAATAAAAATCACTTAATTAGAAGTACTTACAAATATTACAAAGTTTGAAAAGAACATGCTGTATTTCATAAACTGGCCGCAGCCGTCCATATCTGCACCCTTGCCCATCCTGCAACAGAAAAAAATGTACTGTTATGAATACCAATATTTTGAATGAAACATTTTCTTAGGATTAGCCAATAAAGAAGGATCAACAAACAAAGTTTAATGGGAAAATTGAAAATAGTCTCTTCATAGGCATAGGGAGATCATGTAATAAAAAGATCAGATTATAATGCAAAGTGTCCCATTGAAATTATTGTGTGGAAGTTAGAAAATTGATTTTTTTTTCTTATTATAAAATATTTTGAAAACATTTTAATTCAAGTGTATTAAATGTATAAAAATTAATCTTGAATTGCTTGAATTGTTTTAATAGTTGCAAATTTTTTATTTTTCACTTGATCCATATTAGATATGTACAATGAAGAACCAAAATGTTGGGAAAAAAAGTTATTTATCTTATGGGTAAAATTGACATGAAATATTGCTTTACTCAAAATTATTTAATATTAAAATTTAGTAGTAATTAAATTTAAAAAAATTAAATTGGAGTATATTAAGTATTCTAGTTGTTAATAAAAATTATAAATAAAAATATTTATAAAAGTACTGTACATTAACTTTTTTATGTAATAAATAAAAAATATAGTTTTCATACAAATTGCTATTTATAGTATAATTCAATTAAACAAATGTTTGGAACCATACGAAAATATTGAAGTCGTCCTTGATTTTTTTTTATAATAATAATAATTTGATGCGACAGCTAGGAGCTAGGCTTGCATAAAAATATTGTAATATTATGCATTAGCTGCTCGCGAGCACGTGCTCAAAATGATGAACGATTAGCATAAAACAGAGCGCGCAAGTGACGCAACGGCTGCTTTTATTATGTGCGTGTAACTCCGCTGCTTTCACCTGCCCGCGCTCGCCAAGCCACCGTACATAATAATAACAAGCCACCGAGCAAACAGGAGTGAATTTATATTTATTTATTTATGCATTCGTGCGTTCAAAATTACCTCAACTGAACTATCAAGGTCCAGCCCGGATAGAAATTATAATATTGTCGTTTTAATCAAATTCTCTCTCACTGTAAATATAATTTTCGCGTGTCAAAATATAAAAAGAATTGAAGACACAATTCCTCTTCATGGTCAGTGATTAAAAGAGAGGGAAATTGCTCAGTGTGAGAAAACTTGCACCGATGAGTATAGTTTACGACAGTCATTTTTATGCAACTCGTGCGGATGTTTGTTTTTTTTCCTGCCTGAATCACGTTGATTATAAACCACTTAAAATTACCTTGTGATTCAGCTTAAATTTTTTAGAAATGCTCCAAACCAAGGTTTATCAAATTTATACCATTTATACTTTATGTATAATTGCATGTGGGCAGTTCATTTAAAAGAATATATATTTAATTTTGTGCTCATTGTAGGAAAATGACGTCAATTACTTGTCACCTGCAGAATTACAAACACATCCGCAGGAAAAATTACCTTTAACATTTTTGCTAAATTCCTTTAACAGGGAAAGCTTGATTTACGCTTACTTTTTGTAGAATCACGGTGATTTGTATAATTTTCAATTGAGGTATGTAAATGACTTAATATAGCCATTAAAAGTAAAAAATCGTTTTAGAAAAATAAAAATACAGAATAGGAAGATAATGTTATTTTAATGTTACATGCCTTTCATGTAAAAAAGAGTTTCTTGATTCTCTTATTGAATATTATATAATTTAACTCTCGTAGCTGCAGAACAAATGGCAGAATTTTAAAATCTTATGACTATGAATACATTATGAAAAATAAAACATCATTGACTAAAAATTCAATTATTATTTTATAAAAATCAAATTTCAAATATAAAACCATTGAAAAATTATGATCCTCTATCAAAAAGAGAAAAATTTATTCACTTACTTCAGTCGTTGATGCAAACCAGTTTATTAAATTATTTTTTTAAATAATTGAAAATTGATCTTTATGGTGCCAGTTAGAAAAATACTCCAAAAAAAAAGCATAAAAAGCAGACAAGCATTACATGCTTGCGAGTGTACTCGCAAACTTGAGTAAACCTGTTGTACGATAGAATACTACAAACACATTGGATCGTGCTAAAAAAAAAAATAAAAAAATTGAATCGTTCCGTATAAGCAAATGCATATGCACACTAAAGGTTTGCTTGGCTGTCGGCTGGCGTGCGGAGCGAAATTCTGTATTGTTGTAAGATGTAATAATGAAGTAGTTTTGTTGTTGGCAATAAAGGAACCATTAATAATTAATATTAATAATATTACGTTTCCGATGACAATAGCTGTACAGAATTTCACTCCGCACGCCAGCCGACAGCCAAGCAAACCTTTAGTGTGCATATGCATTTGCTTATACGGAACGATTCAATTTTTTTATTTTTTTTTTAGCACGATCCAATGTGTTTGTAGTATTCTATCGTACAACAGGTTTACTCAAGTTTGCGAGTACACTCGCAAGCATGTAATGCTTGTTCATATCAAAATGATTAAGTCGCGTTGATATAGAAACTCACAACCACATTGGGTTCTGAAAGAATAAAACTCTGTGTTTACTTGGTATACTGTGAACGGTACGAAACGCGGAATCGTGCACCGAACGTAAAACCGGGAAACGCACCGAATCTTAATTCACGGGCAATCGTATTAAGCATCGACTGGTCGTAGAAAGGGATCGTTCGTTGGAGCGTATTGATGACAATTTGAAACGCATACCATAAGTGGGATCGTATTACAGTTCACTTAGAAAGTTTACGTGGAGCGTGGGATGGTATTAATCGTGAAACCGTAAAATATGCCAAATCGTAAATCACGTGCAATCGTATTCAGCATTGATTCGACCATCAGATCCAATTTCCCGCATTGGAACGTATTTAACATTGGTTCGCATTATACACTGGATCGTATCATTCATCGGATCAAATCGCAAGGTGCAACGTATTTTACTTACAAATGGTACTGGATGAAACATGCAATCGTATTATTTTTAAATCCGTGAAATATGCCATATCAAAATATATGTGCAATCGTATTCAGCATGCATCCGAACGTGGGATCTAGTTTTTTTGTTTGAAGAATTGTTTGGTATCATACAGTGGATCGTATCATTAATTTGATAATATGATATATTTGAGCGTATTATTTATCTTTCACATGGATCTGTGTAAACGTAAAATCCTATTAATCTGGAAATCGCAAAATATTCCAAATCGTACGTAACGTGCAATCGTATTCAGCATCGATCCGAACATAGGAGCTAGTTTTTCGTTGGAAACATCGATTGTATCATTTATTGGAATCGTGACCTGAATTTGGAAGGAGCACTTGCTTCCAATTATCTCCTTGGGCTGATTAAAATTTAAAAATTTATTTTATCGTGAAGTGGATGTTTTTTTTTTTTTTTAATTTTAAACCACCTTAAACAGGTCACGTGACCTGGGAATTTCACTGTGGAAAATTCTGGAGAGTAAAATCGGAAAGTTTATTTGAAGTGGAATTTTATGCAAATTTAATTCCTTGGAGGTGATTTGAAAATAGATTTTTAATTGATTTTCACCTTAAAATGGCATTACGTGACATAAAATTTTGGTGCAATTTGAAAACTGAATTTGAAATATGACTTAAGAATTTTATTGGGCGAAATCAATACGCATGGCAGAACGGTGTGATTATGCAAAATATTCTAAGTAAATTTATGATACCTCCTTAATGAGGGTGTGCGACCTTCAAACATACCTTTAAAACCCTGCGGCGGATGGAATCTTTTCGATCTTGGAAGCTTTGGAAAAATTCTTGCTAGCGCCGGTTTGTCCAACAATCCATTTTTTCTCTCTCAAATAAATTGTTTTCAACGACTGGATTCCAACAATGCAACAATTTGGACAAAGAAAAATAATAAAAAGAAGTGTGCGAAGGAGAAAATTACGATACGAGCACATTTAAAAGTGGATTATATTTTTTTTTTTTTTTTAATTGTCATATAAAAATGAATGTCCTCGTTAAATTCGTAATAAAATAACCACAATGAAATTAATTTTTGCTTTGAATAAGAAATTTATCACGAACGGAGCATCCATGCAACAGTGTCTTGGTTCCGGTTCGACCACGGGCGCAAGGGTTGACGAAAGGGCGGCTGCGCCGCCCTTTCGTCAACCCTTGGATCGTTCAGTGTCTTGGTTTGACCTCTGGTGCTGGTAATCATGGTGCAAAAGTTTTCTTATGTGGATGGATTTTTTTTATTTTTCTTATAGAAAACTAATTTAGTCAGGTCACGTTAGCTGGGAATTTCACCTTTCCAAACTGGGGAAAATAAAGTTGAAATTTTAAATTTTCAAAAAAGATAGTAAATTTTAAGAAATATATATTTTTATTTGAAAATTTATGGAAAAAAATTATTTTTTTATTAAAAAACTATCATAAGAAACCATTTTAAGCATAAAATTTAATTTCCGTTGCTGAAATCAACCTCGGGAATTATTTACGAACGTCATCCGATCGTCCGAACAGCTTTCCGACGACGGCATTTAATTAATCAAAAAAATTTCTTAAAAAACCGGTTTTGACCCCGGTGACCTCGAGGGGTGACCGTGATCTCGAAATTGACCTCGGATTCGGGTCGGGCGCCGAAAAACACCTTGGGAACCCAAATTTCAACGAGCCAGAGCGAGCCGAACGAAATTCGCGTGTTTTTCTTATGAGAGGCGGCACGCGCGACAAAGCGACCGGCTCCGCACTCGCCGAGCGAAAAAGTGCAATTTTTGAAAAAATCTGTCCAATTTCCGGGCCGATTTTAATCGGCGTTTTGATGATTCCAGGGGTTTTGGCACACGCCGCGGCCGAATCCGCGCTCAAAATCGACCTGCGACCTTCGGAAAGGGTGGAACCTGAGCTCAGGGTGCCCAAAAGGTGGGAAGGGCGACCCTGAGCGCGGATCTGACGCCGGAATCGTGACGGGCGCACGCGAATTAGTCTAGGACGAAATTTCCACGCATTTTCATCAAAGGGCTGAATTAAACGGCGGGGCGGCCACG